TTGGCTGTTGCAGTTGAAAATGAGCTTCAGGTGTATGCCCTGCCGTTTTATGCTAATGATGCATGCAGTGTTGAATTGGCCCGTGCAGTTTAGGCAGGGGTGAAGGGTTCTGCAAGTCCGTGGACCCCTTATGCCAGTGACTGGACGAAAGGGCAGGGCCTCCTGACCCACCCTGAGTTCCTGGCTTAGGGGCATGGTGTTTTTTAAAGCCGTGAGACTGGTGTGGGCATGGATATCCCTGAATTCTGGCTTAGGGGGCATGGCAGTTGTTGAATACTGCTTGACTGGTGTTGGAGTGGACTGGGTTGGAGAGTGGGTAGGAGAAGGAAGTGCTTCTCCGCTGTGCAACTCTGTGGTGGAGGGGTTATTTTGCCTCTGCGCGGGAGGTTAGACTGTTGCACTTAACTTTTGCAGGTCCAAAGCCACTTCCACCCGGCTCTGGAGGCTTATGCAGACTGGCCGCTGCCTGCCTTTGCCTGTGGTGAGGTGAGACGCTTCCCGAATGCCACCGCTCATCTCAGCCTGCTTTTGAATTCTCTCTCCTTCCCCCTGCCTCTCAGTCCGACTCTTCAGCTTTGTCTTTGATGATCAGGGCCCCTAGATTGTCATATATAATCAATCCAGTCATTTTTACAGGTCTTTGTTTTAAGAGGGGTGACAGGAAGCTTCTGACAATTCTGCCATCTTGGCTCTGCCTCTATTTCAGTTGTCTTTTAGAGAGATTTCTAAAATATGACAAAAAATATTTTAGATTTATTCATGTAGTTACCAATTCTGGTGTTCTTTGTTTTTTGCTTTGGATTCGATATCCATTTTATATTATTTTCCTTCTGCCTAAAGAACTTTTAATATTATTATAGTGCAGGTATACTGGTAATGGATTCTTTTATCCTTTGTATATCTAAAAAAAAGCTTTATGTCACCTTTGTTTTTGAAAGAAACTTTTAGTGGTTATAAAATTCTGAGTTGACAGTTTTTTCTTTCAATACTCTAACAATGTTGCTGCACTGTTGCCTGGCTTGCATTGTTTCAAGGAGAAGTCTGTTGTCATTCATGTTTTTATTCCACTGTATTTAACATTTCTTAAAATTTAACATCTGGCTTCTTTTAAGATTTTCCCTTATCACTGGTTTGAAGCAGTTTGATTATAATGTGCCTGGAGTAGTTTTCTACATGTTTCTTTTGCATGGGGTTTGTTGTGCTTTTTGAGTTTGTGGGCTTATAGTTTTCAAATGCAGAAAATTTTTGGCCATAATCTGTTCAGATTTTTTTTCTGTCCTGCTCTCTCTCTCTCTTCTTTTATTGACTCCAGTTACACAAACAACTCTCAGATTCTGTTCTTTTTTTTTTCCTTTTTGGATAGTTTGTATTATTGTGTCTTCAAATTGTTAATCTTTTCTTTTGCAGTGTGTAATCTGCCATTAATCTCATCCAGTATAGTTTTCATGTAAGACATTGTTTTTAATCTGTAGAAGTTCAGTTTGGATTTTTTAAAATTTTTTGTGCCTCTGCTTAACATGTTCAGTCCTTCTTTCGGCTTCTTGTACATATGGAAGAGTGATGTCATAACTGTCTTATCTACTAATGTTCTTACCTACTAATTCTATTTTCTGAATCATGTATGGGTAGGTTTCAATTGACTGGTTTTTCTCCTAATTATAGGATATATCTTTCTGATTCTTTGCCTGCCTGGTTATTTTTTTTTTTTACTGTATGCCACCAGACAGTATAAATTTTACCTTTTTGAGTTCTGGATATTTGTATCTGTATAAATAATCTTGAGCTTTGTTCTGAGACAGTGTTAAGTTATTTGGAAGTAATTTGATCCTTTCAGAGTTTGGTTTTAAGCTTTTTTAAGGTGATGCCAGAGCAGCTTTTAGTATGGGACTGATTTTATCCCAGTGTAGGCAATACTCTTCCTAGTATTCCACCTGATTCCTCTTGAATTATGAGGGTTTCCACTCTGGTGGGAATATGGACTATTCCTATCACTGTTTAGCTACAGAGATTATTCCTATTGTTCTTTTTGGGTTGTTCTTTTCCTGGCTTTGGCTAGTTTCCTTATATACGCATGCTGATTAGTACCCTGTAGTTGACTAGAAGGAGGCCCTCTGCAGGTTTCTGGTGATCTTTTTCTATGCAGCTCTCTTATGTTCATTATTCTGCTTTGTAAACTCTAGGTACTTTAGGGGTCTTGCTTTCCTGGACTTCCAGCTCTTTCTCTTCAACTCAGGGAGATTGCTGGGCTCCATGTAAGTTTCCCAACCTTGTGACCTGAAAACTCTCCTAGGCAATTAGCTGGGACATTGTAGGGCTCACCTTATTTGGTTGTGCTCTTTCAATGATCACTGCCCTATGTTGCATGTTGTCCAATATCTGAAAACCATTGTTTCTTATATTTTATCAGGGTGTTTTTGGTTGCTTCAGGTAGTAGGGGAAATCTGGTTCCTGTTACTCCATCTTGACTAGAAGTGGAAGTCTAATTTATGGGATATGTGTATGTACACTTGTGTGTTTTCTCAAGACTAGAACTGGTGGTGTGTTTTATTTTTATTGAAGAACATAATGTCTTGTAGTCTTTCTGTGTGTGATCTTTGTAGCCATTACCATCTAACATTTATATCCTTAGTTCATTCAGGTTTTCAAAATGGTAGTTGTCAATTCAAGTCTTCGGGGAAGCAGACCCCAAGATGGAATTAGAAATGGTGGAGTTTTATTGGAGGAAAAGCCTATGAAGGATAAGGGGGAAAATGAGCAGGAATAGACAAGGAGTGTCTTCAGATTTCACTGCAGGCCTGGCATTTGTGAGAAGAGAAGGGAAGAGCCTCTCACTTCAGGTTGACACGTAGTCTGCAATAGTTTCTGTCAGGCTAATGGGGGACCCCAGACCAAGTATTATTCATTAGATGATCCCATATTAGGCAGAAATGGCCCAGTTCTAGTATCCTTGCTGTTCCTAGTCATTGATTGGGAGCAGCCCAAGGGAGACTGTGGCATTGGCATGTGGATTCTAAAGGTGTGGCAGCTGGAGGCTATTAGCTTAACTACACTCTTTGAGGCAGGTTCTTTCTCTCTCTCTTTGAAGTCATATTGTTTTACTTTTCACGGTCAGGTCCATTACTCATCAGAAATTAATATGTTTGTATGATGTTAAGTAAGGGTCGCGGTCGTTTCTCCATACTCTTATAGGCTATTGGTCCAGCACCATTTATTGAAAAGACCTTCTTTTCCCCCTTGAATTGCAGTGATGCTATTGTTGTCAGTCAAATTAGTGTAGTAATATGTCCTTTCCTTTTTATATCTTCTCTAGTAATCCCTATCCTAAATTTTGTTTTTATCACTCTTTTTTGTTTTTCCACATCAGGCATTGGCAAACTTTTTTGAAAAGGACCAGATAGTAAATATTTTAGGCTTTGTGGGCCACACAGTTTCTTGTCTTGACTACTCAGTTCTGCTATTGTTGTGTAAAAAAATGCAAGACAATATGTAAATAAATGAACATGGCTTTATTTTAATAAAACTTTATTTACAAAAACAGGCTGTGGACCAGATTTTGCTTGGAGGTCAGTTTGCCAACCCCTGTTCTATATAGTGTAAATATATATTTGTTTTTAAACAATAATATATTTAGTTTTATGTATATTTGGAAACTTTTGAGCTCATATCGTGTATATTGTGTGATATGCTTTATTGCTCAACATTATGTTCACGAAATTCAGTTATGTTATATGTAGTTAAATTTTATTTCTTTTCACTGTCAGTCAGGGTTTATTTAGGTATTTAACTGAGAATATTTAATATAAAGAACTGTTAAATAAGTACTGGAGAACTGAAAAGTCAAGAAGGGAACACTAAGGTATCATGTAAGTAGTAACTGTGAGAAACAACTCCCACCTTTAGGGTTGGGGGAACAGAAGGAACAATTTGGAATTATTTAAACTTACAGGGTTGGGGCAGGGGTCCTTAGGGGAACTTGGACCTCTGACGATGGGGCACCAGCCTGGCTGGTATTGCTGTCTTCAGGGAGGCTTGATAAAGGCTGATTTTGTGAGTGCTGGAAAAATTGCAAACTGAAATCAGCTGATCTTGCCAGAGTGTAGAACTCTGATAGCAGTGACACTGATAGGTACAGGAAGCAAATAGGAAAGAATGTGTCCCTTCTCTCTCTAGCAGACTTTTGGTCTCCCTCTGTAGGTCGCTATGAGTCAACATCGACTCGATGGCACTGGTTTTGGTTTGTTTTTTTCCTAGTTCTTCTTACTGGGAGAATTTAACAGAGTCTAGAGGCAAAGGAAAAATGAGGTTTCTGGAGTTTCAGCCTCAGCATCACAAAGAAAAAAGCGTGGATGGGTGGGTTTGAAGATGAAAGTCAGTGGTATAACATGGAGTACATTTAAAATTCCATTGCATAAATATACTGTAGTTTAACTATTCTTTAGTTGGTAGACATTTGTGAAAATGGGTTAATGTATGTAAAGTACTTAGAAACTTCCTGGCATGCAGTAAGAACTAGATATAATGTTAGATATTATTATTATTGCCTGTTGATTTAGTGTCCTTTGGAATGAACCTTAGAATATTTTGAATACTTCGAGTGCCTCTGCTGCCAGCCTTAATACACCGTTAAGCATCCTGGGGATATGGTATAAGAAAGGTTCCTGAAACTGGGTCTCGGTATCTTCTATTAGGTATTGTTTCTGGGACATTTACCAAGGGAAAGATGTTTCCCTGATATTCTCTAGTATTTAAGCGGGGACAGCTCTGCCTTTGAGGTTATCCTGTGTGCTTTCCTTTGTAAATTTCATGATGTCCTCTGCTGGACAATCAGTTCCTTAGACTGTTTTGAGTTCACAGTAGGTTTAAGTGAAACTGGTAGATAGTATCCTACCAGATAGAAGATGTTTAAGAAATTTTATCTCCCGTACTTATTTTAAGAGATTTCTTGGGAAGACTTAAAAATTGTTTTTAAAAAAAGTTAACCAAAAGTTTCTTTGTTTTAGAATTTCTTCAAGGGAGGAATAAAGAGTGCATCATTGAAGGATTTATGTCTTGAAGACAAAAGACGCATTGCAAACTTAATTAAAGAACTGGCCAGGTAAGATGAAACCTTATATGAATGCGTTGTTACGAAAAAGAGACAACAACTCTTTTTGAAAACAGAAAATTTCAAATATGTTGTGATGTTATTGATATTATGGAAGCAAAAACTTTTAGAAAAAAGATGTTTTCTAGTGCTATTAAAAAAAGAAGGGGAAAAAAGAAACACGAGAAGCAAACCACTATCCAATTTACATTTTTTTAATTTTACTCCCCAGATTGTTGGGAAATCTTTGCAGCAGACATCTATCAAGAGAGAAAATCTTAAAACTTAGCTTTACTGTTGAAGTAGGTTGATATTGTTATAATCAGAGGCATAGCAGTTAGAATTGATTTTGCTTCAACATCTCAACAGAAAAGGACATTTTATTTTAGTCTATTGCAAAAATATCTGTTGCTGTTTTGCTAACTCCTAATTCTTTCAAATAAGGAAGTTTGAATTTTGAGAATTAACTTCTTAGCTGTTTGGAAGTACTTCTGCAGCTTATTGGTGATGTGTATGAGACACACCTACTTTGTATGTAAATTTGTCAATATATGTGTTCTGTCTTAGGGTCTTAAAAAGTACTGAAATTAAAATGCCTATAGAGAAATGCAGGAGTCCCTGGGTGGTGCAAACAGTTAACTCTGACCTAAAGATTGGAGGTTCAACTCAACCCACAGGCACCTTGGAAGAAAGACCTGGAGATCTACTTCTGAAAAATCGGCCATTGAAACCCCATGGAGTGCAGTTCTATTCTGCAACACATGGGGTTGCCATGAGTCAGAACCAACCTGACTGCAGCTGGTGTGTGGTGGTGTAATGACGAATGATGTTGAACATTTTTTATGTGCTTCTTGACCATTGTATATCTTGTTTGGAGAAATGTCTATTCAAGTCCTTTGCCTATTATTTTTTTAATTGAGTTGTTTGTTTTTTTGTTGTTGAGTTGCAGGAGTACTTTATATATTCTGGATATTAAACCCTTATCAGATATATGGTTCCCAGATACTTTCTCCCATCCTAAAGGTTGTCTCTTCACTTTCTTGATGAAGTTCTTTGATGCACAAAATATTTTTTATTTTGAGGGAGTCCAGTTTATTTATTTTTTTGTTACTCATGCTTTTGGTATCATATCTGAGAATCTATTATAAAAAAACAGGGTCTTGAAGTTTTACCTGTATGTTTTCCTCTAAGAGTTTCATGGTTTAGTTTTTATCAGGGCTTTGAACTGGTTCGTTCTGGTTTAAACCCTTGCTGAGAATTTGCATTTCTAACAAGTTCCCATGCAATGCTAATGGTGCACATTAGGGACCAATTCTGAGAACCACTAGTAGAACAGTGGTTCTCAAAATTTATTATACATAAGAATCACCTGGAGAGCTTATTAAAATGTAGATTTCAGTGTATACACTGAATAATAATACTAATAATCAAAATCTACATTTTAACAAGATCTCCAAGTCATTCTTATTTACGGCCTTGGAAACTTTATGGGGCAGTTCTAATCTGTCCTATAGGGTCGATATGAGTTGGAATCAACTCGACGTCAGTGGGTTTGTTTTTTTTTGGAATATTTATGGAAACCTGTTTTATGGCCTAGCATGTGGTGTATTTTGGAAAACAATTCATGTGCACTTCAAAAATAATATGTATTTTCTCATTGTTAGATATAGTGGTCTATAATTGTCAATCAAGTCAAATTTGGTTGATAGTTTTATTCAAATTTTTCAATAATCTTACTGATTTTCTGTGTACACATTCTATTAATGAAAAAGGAATGCTGAAATCTCCAACTATATTTGTGTATTTATCTCCTTTCCCTTTCATTTATGTCAGTTTTTTGCTTTACATATTTTGAACTTGTGTTATTAGGTTTATATATGTTTACACTATATTTTCCTGATGAATTGACCCTTTTATCATCATCAAATGTTCATCTTTGTCCCTGGTATTATTCCTTTCTTAAAACCTATTTTTTCTGATATTAATGTAGCCACTGCAGCTTTTTTTGATTAATATTTATATGATATACTTTTATTTTTTTATCGAAATGTTTTATCTTGAAATAATTTTAGATTTGTAGAACGGTTACAGATAGATAGTTCAAAGGGTTTCCATTTAGCCTTCTGTCAGTTTCTGCTAATGGCAACGTCTTACATAACTTTGGTACATTTATTAAAACTAAGAAATTAACATTGATATAGTACTGTTAAAGGAACCCTTTTGGCACAGTGGTTAAGCACTTGGCTGCTAACCTGAAGGTCCGTGGTTCGAACCTACCAGCCGCTCTATAGGAGAAAGATGAAGCAGTCTGCTTCCCTAAAGATTTATAGCCTTGGAAACCCTACGGGCAGCCCTTTAGGGTCGCTGTGAGTTGGAATCTACTCGACGACAATGGGTTTTGGGTATAGTACTGTTAACTAAACCGAATTTATTTGGGTTTTTCTAGGTTTTCCAACTCTATCCTTTTTTCTGTTCCAGGATCCAGTTTAGGATATCACATTGCATTTAGTTGTCATGTGTCCTAATCTCCTTCAATCTGTGACAAGTTCTCAGTCTTTCTGTGTTTTTTATGACCTTGATTCTTCTTAAAATCTCTGTCAGACATTTTGTGGAATGTCCCTTACCTCCTTGAGCTCTTATATTCTGCTTCAAGTTAACCCTTTGTGTGAAAAGGGAAAATGAAGAAGAGAAAGAGGAAATGAAAACTCAACTTTCATTTTAGAAGAGAAAAAAGTGTTCTCTTTGTGCAAAGGGCATTTAGATATATTTCCTTGTTTGTGCATAACCACCTTGCTTTATATTTATATACTTTGTTTTCAACTCATGTCATATAAAACAAGACAAAAACTCTGCATCTTTTGTATTCTGCCTACCTTGCCTAGAACATGGCTTTTTTTTTTTAACAAATAGACTTTTGAATAAATAGCCAATAATGATGAAGTATTAATAGAGGATAGTTAGGAAAGTGAAGTTTTTAAAGTTGTCTTCATTCATATCTAACTGGAAAAGATAAGATATGAAGAATGAAGGCTGTTTCACTTGCCATCAAGATCAGAGTAAATGGGAGAACATGTTAGAAGATTTAGAAAATTTTATGTATTTTCATTAGTGGAGTTTTATGACATAGTCCAGCATAGCATACTTAAGGAATTTCAGCTATTATGCAGATCCACTAGCATTCTTTTGGAGGAAAGTCACTGAGAGTGCCTGGTACTCAGTATTGGCTACTCACAAGCATATTTTCAGAAGAATATAATATTCACACTGTACAAAATAAATAGCATGTTTTTCAGTTATAGGGTGTTGTGCTAAATAAAGGCAAAGTAACAACTAGAGCTTTTTTTAATGTTGCCTTTGAGGTATAAAGTATTCTTATAAAAGCGTAACCTTTTTATAAAAACATGGCCTTGACTTTAGCAACGTTAGGTGGATAAACTGTGTGTACGTAAGTAGTAAGAGTGACTTACTTGTATCTTGGAGAGATCTGTACGTAAGTAGTAAGAGTGACTTACTTGTATCTTGGAGAGATCTGTTGAGGCCATATTTGTGAGATCCTCTCTAGTCAGTATCTTTATTGGTCCTATGAGTGAAAGAATCAAAAGGATACCTTTAAGTTTTACTGATAATTCTAAATGAGAATATTTGTGAATAGAAGTGCAGTGCAGTGAATTACTTATTATGATCTTTCTGGCCATTCATGGTCTTGTGACTCTCACAGAATGATTGGGTGGGGTTATGCAAATAAGGTGCTTGTGGCCCACCAGGGGGATTTGAGAGCTTGCTAATAATACAAATAAGGTGTATGGAACCCTTGCAGGGGTGGTACTATACAAATATGGTTCTTGTGGAACCCTTGTAGGGGATTGATCAGTTTTGCCACCCTGCAAGGCTTAAAAACAGATCCAATCCCAGAACAGAGGGGAACCTCACTACCATGAAGAAGGGCTAGGAGTGGAGCACATCCTTTGGACTGAGGGTCCCTGCACTGAGAACCTCCTAGGCTCAGGAGACAGAGAGCTGTAACACCAGAGAAGGCAGGAGACAGCGAGAAGTGGCAGCAAGCATGGCAGACAAACAACAGCAGCAGAAGCACGAGACTGTTGTGAGACGATGATGGGCTTTCTGGCCCACGGAGTGAGGTGGCTGCTGTGGGTTTGCCAACCCACAGAGCGAGAGAGCTGATTGCCTTCAGACAGGAGGCTTCCTGGTGAAGCGGGGTGCCTCTGAGCACTTACTGGTGCAGTTGAAAGAGCTTTGTAACACTTGCCTAAGCAGGGCAGTGGGCAGGCCGAAGGCCAAGGGAAGCCTGTCCTGAGGAGACCAAAAAGAGTCTGTCCTAAGGGGACCAAAAAGAACCTGTCCTGAGGGGGCTGAGAGGAGCCTATCCTCAGGAGGCCTAAAGGAGGCCTGTCCTTTGTGCCGAGAGAGGCCTGTCGTCTGGCCAAGAGGAGCCGAGAGCTGCCCTGCACTGAAAAAGGGAGACTTTGCCTACATGCTTCCTGATCCTGACCCCGAGTTGCAGCCTGTTGATCCTGATCCTGAATTGTAACCTGGTACTTTTCTAATAAACCGCATAACTATGAGTATGGTCTGTGAGTTCTGTGTGGCCATTGCAACGAATGTCAATGGAGGGCAAATCCCAGCAGAGAAGGAGAGGGTGCCATGGGAGGGATGGCTGGTGTCAGAATTGATAAAAAAAATTGGAACATGGAGGTATATTTGACCTCCATAGGAATTAGTCTTGGGCTGATGCTGATCTTGATTCTCTCTCCTCCCCCTTGTGAAGTTAGATGAAGAGGTCTGACACTGCCACACCATTTTTACAAGAAGATATAAATAAAATTCAGAATTAGCTTCATAGGTTGGAAAATGGATTTATTCGAACAGGATAAAAGACAGTAGTGACAATTAACTGGATATTATATGCCTAAAGATAAAAACAAATTAGAAATCCATGTCAAAGAAGGACTGGTTAGACTCAGTAGAGGGGGAAAAAAAAAGATCCATGGTTC